AACTTTCTAATAATACATTCTTTTTCAAATATTCTGGTCTTCAGTTCTTTTTTTTTGTATTCTCAATGTTCATGAATTGCCTGAAATATTCTCCTGCAAAGGAAGTGTGTTCATTCAACAAAGCCTTTATTTCTAAATAAGATTTCCTTGTTTAGTAAGTAATGAATGAACTTTAAATAATTGTGAGAAGCCATTTTGGGAGAGAATCAGTAAATGTATCTGGAGGATAAGAAGAAAATAGGCCATTGAGGAGGTAAGAGTTGAGGACAAAGTGGCAAACTAGAAAAGGGTAACTATCTACCCAAGGGTCATGGGGAGGTCAGAAAACCACAGAGCAAATGAACTTTCCATACGAATTAGCAGATAGCACAAGTGGTTCAGAGGAGATCTTGCTCAGGCACATGACTTCTACTTGGACAATCAATAAGACCTCAATTACTTAATTAACAAAGGGCAAAACACAGCAAAGTATTCTGCTTCGTTTCAACTCTCACAAAACTGGTTGAACTTTCTCACTCTGACTAATACAAAGCCGAATAAACACATTGGACCCGACCAAGTATTGAATGGTGGCAGGGTGCAGACCACTACATGACAGTGTGGGTACAGATCATCTACTGTCATTTTTTATTCTATTATTTTAAACACCATTTGGACTAAAGTAGATGTGGCCATCGAGATTATTTAGAGATTGTAAATCTATAACCCAATAAGAAAAATAGTTTTTCAGAAAAGAAATAATAATAGAGATAAATTTGCTCTCTTTCGTCAATCTTCACCTAAAACACAGGGCATGAAGCTAAAGCTGTTCCAACTGGGCATTCATAATACTTTTCTCCCATTTGCCAACTGGAAAAGGCAATTTTTGTTTTGTTTTTAACAAAATTTGTTAGTTGGACAGCATGTTTTTAGAATTTATAAATATTTTCTTCACTAGCTCTAAAATTCAAGGTAAAACCAAGGAAGAAAGAGAATTCTTAAAGCCCACATATTCAAATTTATCAAGGGAGAAAAACTCCTTAATAAGCATTCGCTTGGGAGTAAACACACTAAGATTTGAATCCTGGTTTTGTCATTTCTCTCTGTGTGCCTATAGACCATATACTTAAACGTCTCTGAGCTCTGTTTTCCTCGGCTAGAATATCTGAGACTATACGTCTTCTCTGGGTAGTTTTAAGTATTAAGTAAAATAATATATGTAAAGGTGCCTGGCATGTGACAAGCATGCAATATACTGTGGTTCTGATTTCTCAAAAAAAGGATTTAATGTTTAAAAGACTCAAAGATTGAAAGATTTCTAATTACTAAACAATGACGATTATATCACTTCTGATTTACAATGAACAAACTCTTAGTTATCCTGTGTGTGTCTTCATTCCATTTTCTATCGTTCTTATTTTGTCAGGATGTTACTATGTAAGTCTGTTGTGAGTAGAAAAATAATTTATTTAAACATCTTCACATTTATAATTTTCCCAAAGAGTGGAACTGGAAATTGAGAATAAGAAAGAAGAATTCTATGTAAATTAGTAAAATTTGTAAAACATAAAACGGAAAAGTGTGGTTTTATCGGTACAAATGATTATGAGTCACACTTAAATTAATGTAAGTAGTTCATCTAATGTAACAAAAATAAGGAAAAAAACAATAAGCACAATCTAGAAGACATGGAGCTATTTTTGCTGAACGCATCACATTTATGAAGCCATCTTTTTGAGGTTAATGTACTTCCTGCATTAGATAACTTACTCTTTGTCCTTTAGGACCTTGACTTCCAGGTGGTCCTCTTGCTCCCACATGACCCTACATGTTGAACATTTAAAAATCAGTTATAGAATTCACAGGAATGTTATCAAAATAGTAGTTATGACCTTGGGAATCTTAAAATAAAATTGGTTAGTCTCCTTAAAAATATGCTTTATTGGGGCGCCTGGGTGGCGCAGTCGGTTAAGCGTCCGACTTCGGCCAGGTCACGATCTCGCGGTCTGTGAGTTTGAGCCCCGAGTCAGGCTCTGGGCTGATGGCTCAGAGCCTGGAGCCTGTTTCCGATTCTGTGTCTCCCTCTCTCTCTGCCCCTCCCCCGTTCGTGCTCTGTCTCTCTCTGTCCCAAAAATAAATAAATGTTGAAAAAAAATAATAAAAATATGCTTTATTTCTGAAATAAATGCCATACTTTCCTCCCCAATATTCTCCACTCTCCCAGTATTCTAAGTTGTTTTCAGGAGGAACACATATAGAGTGACAGTGGAAAGAGACACCCATCTAGCCAGTGAAGTCAGCTGGTACATCAAAAAAGCAATGGCTATTGTTGCAGGATTTTTTTCCTCATGATTCTAGACATTTATGATAATCCATCACATAAAAATGTATGTTTCCTGTTACTGTGAAAAGTCACAAAATGCACCAAATTAATATGCCACAAATAGACTGTAATGAAGATTAAGTTGTTACTTATTACTAAGTCAATTACAATGAATTTTTTATAGTCTTCAATAAAGACTCAATTAGAAAACAAAATTTATTTATCTATATAAAATTAGGTAGGTAAAAACAGTGATCTTTTATAGAATGTTGGGTTTATTTATTATCTTATGTGAGTAAAAAGATTGGCAACTGTACCGATCAACACCAATCTTCCTAATTTTAGAAGTCAATAACATGTCTCTCAGTGTACTGGAAAATCAGGCCTCTCTTTAAAACAGGAGCTTCACAAAACAGCATAAATCATTTCTGATAATAGCTCTGTTGAGGTGATTATTAAGGCTTATCTTTTTCATATTTAAGTTGATGATAACGGTCAAATTTTGATAAGCCAAACTTTATTTCTTTACAGATATGATTTTATTACCTTTCTCTATATCACAAATGGAGTATTTTCAAAACTCAATATTTGTTCAATGAAGGTATATTTTCTTCGACTTTTATCTGGGCATTTGAAAATATTTGCAGATTTCTAAGGAAAATATGTTGGAACTTGTTTGTGATTTGTTTATTTAAGCTCACTTCTAAGCTTGATAACTGACGCTGTCTTCTTATACATGGCTATTCAAAAGAAAGTTTAAATTTCTTTTTGTTTTAGACTACAGAATTGTCCAAATTATTAAAAGTGAGCGATAAATAATATAGCAAGTAGAGTCAAGGGAGTTTAAGATACCATGACATATTCTGGAGTGTTTTGCCTTGACTGGGGAGAGAAGTGGCCTCCATCAATTTATACATTACTTATTTTGCATAAAAGCAAAAAATATAGTATAACTAAAATCATACAATTAAATTTAAATAGATGTCCTAGAAGGGAATATAAAGTCTTTTCTGTACTTACAGGTAATCCCAGGGCACCAATGGGTCCTGGATCCCCGGGAGGACCTGGATATCCCTAAAATTTGAATAAAAATATGAAAAACATAAAGTCTCTGTTCTATCTGATCATTTTCATTGAAGACAAACCAGTAAATTATAAACAGCAATAAAAGGTGTTAATGTAATAAAATCTCTTTCCTATCAAAGATATAAAAGGCCATAGGAAATATTCCACAGTTAGATAATAGAAATAAATAATGTTGGGCGCCTGGGTGGCTCAGTCGGTTAAGTGGCCAACTTTGGCTCAGGTCACAATCCTGCAGTTTGTGGGTTCGAGACCCGCATCAGGCTCTGTGCTGACAGCTCAGAGCCTGGAGCCTGCTTTGGATTCTGTGTCTCTCTCTCTGACCCTCCCCTGCTTGTGTTCTGTCTCTCTCTGTTTCTCAAAAATAAATAAACATTAAAAAAAATAAATAAATAAGTAATGTTTACAGGGAAGCTGTGAACCTTTTATTAGTAACACTTTGGCTAGGAAAGAAATTTTCAAACCAGAATCATATATTATGACCTACTGAGAATAGAATATTCATCTTATATTCTGTAGGTTTTGTTATGCTATGAATAGATATATGTTATGTTATATAGACCATGAAACCATTTCAGTGTCAGAAGTCAGGGAATTCTATAATTAAGGAATGTGAATGTGTAGAAATAGTGTAGCCTGTCAAATTTTAGAAGTACCACACCTTTTATGATATTAATACTAATCTTAGTAGGCAATAATCCCTGAAATTGATTAACCTAATGGGTATGTTAAATATTTTGCTTGACAGCAATTGGACATAGGTAAGAAAATAATCTTATAGTATTTTGCTGACAATACAGAATTTAAAACTAAAGAATAGCTTAGGGGGGTGCCTGAGTGGCTCTGTTGGTTAAGCGTTCGACTTCGGCTCAGGTCATGACCTCACGGTTTGTGAGTTCAAGCCCCTTCTCTGGCTCTGGGCTGATAGCTCAGAGCCTGGAGCCCACTTTGGATTCTGTGTCTCCCTCTATCTGCCCCTCCGCTGCTTGCCCTCTGTCTCTCACATTGCCTCAAAAATAAATAAACATTAAAAAAAAATTTTTTTTTTAAAAGAGTAGCTTGGGTAAAATAAATTTGTATATAGTATTATGTGCCACCAGATCTATTATGATATATTTTGGGAAAGCAAGATTCTTTTATAAATTTTTTTTGTTCTAGTTCCTGTCATGTTTAGAAACTATTTAATAAACTAAAAAAAAAAAAAACCAATCTATATATAACATCTGTCAGCTATTACTACCTTAAAGGTGCAAGACAGTAAGATGAATTCGGATTCTGATCTTTTATATATCAAAGAATTACTTCAGGACCACAAACTCATAGATGAGTGGCAGTGATGATATGTGTCATATAAACTATAAGTAATGAAAGAAAAGTAGAATCCTAATTGAATTTTCTTTTTCATCCATTTCAGCTAATTTATGGCAGTTTAATTCTTCTCTTAAAACGATAGACTCACTTGACCAAGCCATCTGATTTGCATGCTTGTTAGTGCCAATCAGTATTTGAAAGGTAAACTGTTTAAGGGAAAAGAAAATTCTAATGGAAATATACTATAAAATAGAAATTTTCACTTACTTAAATTCCATTCAAGGCAATCCCACCTCTGGAATTACTATGTTCTTTGGAAATATATATTTCAAATCACTAAGCTCTTACCATGACACCCTTTTCCCCCTGGGGACCTTGTGGACCTGGACTTCCACGTTCTCCCTTTTAAAACAAAGAAAAAAAAAACACTGAGGCAAGCTAACCAGTCATGATTGAGCTAAGTGAAATTGTCAGAATCATACCTTACATGTATATCTTACCTTAATTGCTAATACTTTTTAATTTACAGATTTTGCACTTTACCTTCAAGTTGCTAGACTTTTAAGACAATAAAAATCCCCCTAAGGTATATTTCAAGGGATAAAATACTAAAAGTATTGTTGCTTTGTAAGGAGAAATGCTTACCATTTTGAGACATATAAAATAGTAGTAAAAGTATCAAAAATATTGTCAAAATTAACTAATCTCTATAACCACTGAATAAAATTTTATTTCTGTTCTGTCAACCTACCTGAGCAATTAAGTATGATCAGGATAATCAAACATGCCATAGCAGATTAAAGTAATTAAACTGATTCACATTAAAATTCCCAAGATTGTCATAATCTTAGTGCAGAAGATTTGGCTTTGCACAGAAGAAACTAAGTCAGAATGAAAATATTACAAATATTTATTTTTTGAAATTATCTGATTTTGTATATGTCATATTATTATTGATTGTCAAAAATCAATAAATATATATTAAGCACTTTCAATGTACAAGAGTTGGAGAGATCTAACGGAAATTTGACTTAGAGTCTACTCTCAAGTATTTGGAGACATGATATTAACAAAGGTAATCAATTAGAGGACAATTAAATTGTAAATTGTGTGGTGCTTATTCTAAGTCCAGGAAGACAAGAAATCAGGAAGGATTAGAGGAATCTGGGAAGACTTTATGGAGGAGATAAGGATTTCAGTCCTATAGTTTGGCTTTGAATAAATAGAGGGAAGAGGAGAGGATATTCTAAAGCAACAAAATAGTGAGAATAGGAATTGAAACAGGTATGTCATATACGAGATGGGAGAGAGAAAGGTTTATATTGGAGAATATTAGAAAATTTGTTGGATGAACTGATTGAGCCAAGATTATGTAGTACCTTGACAGTAAAGTAGAGGAGTTAACAGGGTCAGGAATAGGGGGCCAATGATGGTTTTTAAAAATGTTTCATCATGCCCATCAAAATTAGTCCTCTTGTAGTACCTGCGATGGATTAGAGGATTTAAAGGGAAGGGCAGGGTAAATATGACAGGAGGTAAATTTAAGATAAACTGGTAAGAGTATGTCTGAGGGGATAGCTTTGGAATGACTGTTAGAAAAGAAAGCTTATATATATATATATAAAAAGAAAGCTTATATAGAAAAAACTCTAAGTCATGCTAAAAGATTAGGCATAGAGAATGAAGGAAAAGGGAAAGTAAATATGGATTTCACTCTTTTTATTCCAGAAGACTGGAAGAATTGAGATAGGTATAAGGCACACTAATAGAAATGGGATAATTGGGAAGAGGCCAATTTGAATGTGGGGGGAAAATTGATACACTTTAGATATGTTGACTGTGACTTAATTTAAACATTTCAGTACCAGAAGTCTTAGCCGTAGTAATCAGACAACAAAAGAAATAAAAGGCATCCAAATCTGCAAGGAAGACGTCAAACTTTCACTATTTTCAGACATGATACTCTTGTAGAAAACCCAAAAGACTCCACCAAAAAATCGCTAGAACTAATACATAAATTCAGCAAAGTCACAGGATATAAAATCAACATACAGAAATCTGTTGCATTTCCTGGGGCGCCTGGGTGTTTCACTCAGTTAAGTGTCTGACTTGATTTAGGCTCAGGCTTTGATTTTATGGTTGTTGAGATTGAGCCCCATGTCAGGCTCAGTGCTGACAACACAGAGCCTGCTTGGGATTCTCTTTCTCCCCCTCTCTCTGCCCCTCCCCACCTTGCATGCATGCGTGCATTCTCTCTCTCAAAATAAATAAAAATAAAATTAAAAAAGAAATCTGTTGTATTTCTGTACACCATAATAAAGCAGCAGAAAAAGAAATCAAGGAATTGATCCCATTTACAATTACACCAAAAAACAATAAGATACCTAGGAATAAACCTAACCAAAGAGGTAAAAGATAGTACTATGAAAACTATAGAACACTTATGAAAAAAATTGAAGATGACACAAAGATATGGAAAGACATTCCATGCTCATGGACTGGAAGAACAAACAATGTTAAAATGTCTACACTATCCAAAGCAATCTACACATTTAATGCAATCCTAATCAAAACACTAATAGCATTTTTCACAGCGCTAGAACAAACAATCTGAAAGTTTGTATGGAACCACAAAAGACCTCAAATCGCTAAGGCAACCCTGAAAGAGAAAAGCAAAGCTGGAAGCATCACCATTCCAGACTTCAAGCTGTATTACAAAGCTGTAGTGATCAAGACAGTATGGTACTGTCACGAAAATAGACACATAGATCAATGGAACACAATAGAAAAGCCAGAAATGGACCCACAACCACATAAGTAACCAATCGTTAACAAAGCAGGAATGAATATCCAATGGAAAAAAGACAGTCTCTTCAACAAATGGTGTTGGGAAAACTGAACAGCAACATGCAGAAGAATAAAACTGGACCACTTTCTTACGCCATACACAAAAATAAATTCAAAATGGATGAAAGACCTAAATGTGAGACTGGAAACAATCAAAATCCTAGAGGAGAACACAGACAGAAACCTCTTTGATCTCAGCCACAGTGACTTCTTAGTAGACGTATTGCTGGAGGCAAGGGAAACAAAAGCAAACATGAACTATTGGGACTTCATCAATATACAAAAGCTTCTGTACAGCAAGGGAAACAATCAACAAAACTAAAAGGCAGCCTACAGAATGGGAGAAGATATTCGCAAATGACATATCTGATAAAGGATTCGTTTCCAAAATCTATAAAGAACTTATCAAACTTAATGCCCAAAAAACAAATAATCCAGTTAAGAAATGGGCAGAGGATAAGAATAGATATTTTTCCAAAGTAGATGTCCAGATGGCTAACAGACATATGAAGAGATGCTCAACATCACTTATCATCAGGGAAATGCAAATCAAAACCACAATGAGATACCATCTCACATCTCTCGAATGGATAAAATTAACAAGAAACAACAGATGTTGGTGAGGATGTAGAGAAAGGGGAACCCTCTTACACAGCTGGTGGAATGCAAACTGGTGCAGCCACTCTGGAGAACAGCATGGAGGTTCCTTAAAAAACTAAAAATAGAACTACCTGAGGACTTAGCAATTGCATTATTAGGCATTTACCCAAAGGATATAAAGATACAGATTGGAAGGGATACATGCACATCGATGTTTACAGCAGCATTATCAACAATAGTCAAACTATGGAAAAAGCCTAAATGTCCATCCACCCAATGACTGACGAATAAAGAACATCAAAAAGAATGAAATCTTTCGATTTGCAGCAATGTGGATGGAACTAGAGTGTATTATGCTAAGTGAAGTAAGTCAGAGAAAGAAAAATGCCATACGATTTCACTTACATGTGTAATTAAAGAAATAAAACTGATGAACATGTGGGAAGGGAAAATAAAAGAGAGAGGGAAACAAACTATAAGAGACTCAACAATAGAGAACAAACTGAGGGTTGATGGACAGAGGTGGGTAGAAGATAAGCTAGATGGGTAATGGTTATTAAGGAGGGCACTTGTGAGGCGCATTAGGTGTTGTATGTAAGTGATGAATCACTGAATTCTATTCCTGAAACCAATACTGCACTGTATGTTAACTAACTAGAATTGAAATAAAAACTTGAAAGGAAAAAAAAAAAAAAAAGGAAGGAGTAGCCAAAGGTTTCAAATACTTCTAAGAAAGGAAAGCTAAGGAACTGCTATTGTTTCTGTATCTATGATACTGTCTGCCTTAAATGTTGTGCCAGATAAACTACTTACTTACTTGTAAGCTAATATATAAGAAATATTCAGTGGATAGGGTGAATACATATTCTTTGTTGAACCCCAAAAAATTCGGATGGAAATAACTAGAATATTATTTAATTTACTTCTAGTCCTGGTTCCACTTAATTATTCACAAAGTAGCCTCATGTAGTAATTGCACTAGAACATCATGTTTACAAATTATATTCAGCAAGTTAGGTTTTAGTCAAAGAGTCAAAGTTTTTGGGTTATTATCTACTAGTCCATTATAAGATTCCATAAAAGAAATTTTAAATGCCCTTGGAGGTTTCAAGTAAAGAATTACTTTTTATTAAAAAAAAAAAAAAAAAGCTTCCCTAAATTTGAAACTCAACATGGAAAATCACTCCCAAGTAATGATTTTAGGTAATCTTTAAGCAAATTACAATTTCCATTACAATAGCCAGGAATATCCATGAATAAATGCATACTGCATTCCAAGTGGACAGCAAGAGATTGTGACTGAGACTTGGAGCAGGTAGTGATTACTTATTCTCTTTCAAAATGGCTTCCTTTAGGGGGCTTGCTCTGATAAAGTAGATTTAAATATGGTCTAATCATAAATCTAGACCATCAGTTTCATCTTTTCAGAGCACAGTATCACAACCTAAAGAGTACTCTGCCCTTTAAAAATTAGAAACATATATGCTATTAGCTATATTCAATATACTTAAGATATTCAGGACAGGTGATATATTTTAAGTTATGAGTGATTTCTAATTAATAACATAAAATACCAAATACCAAATACCTCCTTTTACTTTAGCCTGGCATTCTTACTACTTAAAAAAAAAATGAATGAAATTACCTTTTCACCAATGCTTCCAGTAATCCCAACTTCTCCAGGTAAACCGACAGGTCCCTTTTAGGAAAAAAATGTAACAGAAAATACACATTTATTGCATTGCTATTACAGCATCTTGGTTTTAAATCACCTGTAATCAATATGTTTCCTTCTAACTTATCCTAAATTTTATATTAGAATGAAATTCTTCCTAGTATAGATGTCCAACCTATGACTTCACATCCAAAATTAATCTATTCACTCAATCAACAAATATATATGAATGTCTAAGGGGTGGCAGGCCTGTGCTGGGAGGCACTGTTTCAAATCCAAACACAGTTCCTGCCCTTGTGGAGTTTATAATCCAGTGGATGTTATAAAAAGTTGCGGTTTTTCCATAGCTTCTTGATGTGAGTATATCAGCTGAAGAAATCCTTTCTGTGACTTCTTTGAAAACTTCTAATACCACGACATGCCCATTCATTAATTCACTGTCACTCAAGAAATATTTTGTGCCTGCTCTGTGCCAGGTACTACATTGCTTTGCTGAAATTTCATTAGCAGACCTAGGCCCTGCCCTCATAAGGCAAAAGAGTCTTATACAGAGACAAAAACAATTAAATTAAAAAATGAATAATTACAAATCATCATATTGGCTCATAAAGGAAACAACTATGATGCCCAGGCAGAGAGTGAAAGAGAAGACCTATGGAAAGATGGTCAGGGTAAACCTCAAGTTTGACATCTAATCTGAAAGCTGAAGAATAAGAAGAGGTCAGTAGGCAAGAGAAGACAGAGTAAACCGCTTGAGTGAAGAATGAATTAGTGTGCTGAAAGAGATGAAAGAAAGCAATCATAATACAGTTTCAGAGTGAACAATGCTCCGTGTTCATCCACCTTGTCTTTATGGATTCTACTTCAAGCAGGATAGAAAACACAAAGAATAACAGGACAAGTTTTACAACAGCAGCATAATCCTTCTCCTGTTTTCAGTTATGAAGTTATTTTCTACTATTATTTAGAGATGTATGAAGCATTTTCTTTTTCAATAGCTACCAAGCAAAGACCCTGCTTAAATAGATTATTGTACAATAATATGCATTAGTATATAGAAGGCACCTAAATCATGAAAAAAGAATTTGATGTATTGAAGCTAACTGAAGTTAATACATGAGGCATAATTTTATCCACATATATTTGTATCATTATCCATATCAATCTCTTCTCTCTCTCTACCTACATACCTATACACTTACCTGTGTATACCTACCTACCTACCTGTCAATCTATCTGGTGATCAAGGATATACTAACATATGTTAAGCACTCCTTATGTGCCTGATTTAATCCTCACAACAATCATATTTGATAGTATTATCCTGATGCCCCTACAGAAAAGACAATGAGTTAAATAGCTTGCTGAGGTCAATGAGTTTAAATAGTATAGATGAGTTTAAGTGGTTATTGAGCACTTGAAATGTAGCTGGTCAAAACTGACATGTGCTGTAAATGTAAAGATACCAGATTTTGAAGATCTACTACAAAAAGAAAGAAAAAATTCAAATCATTGTTTAAGTTGGTTACATATTGAAATGATAATGCTTCAGAGATACTGGCTTAAATAAAATATTACTAAAATCAATTTCATCTGCTTCTTTTTTTTTTTTTTAATTTTTTTTTTTTTTTTAATTTTTTTTTTTTTTTAACGTTTATTTATTTTTTTGGGACAGAGAGAGACAGAGCATGAACGGGGGAGGGGCAGAGAGAGAGGGAGACACAGAATCAGAAACAGGCTCCAGGCTCTGAGCCATCAGCCCAGAGCCCGACGTGGGGCTCGAACTCACGGACCGCGAGATCGTGACCTGGCTGAAGTCGGAGGCTTAACCGACTGCGCCACCCAGGCGCCCCAAGATTCCTAATTTCAGATGACCTAGCTTGCTTGTAGGCAAGCATTCTCAAAGGCAAATACTAGACAAATCTAAGTAGCAGTTGCTACTTAGATGCTCTCTTTAGTTCACCACAGTCCATACCAATTGCTCTTCTCTCTTATACCTGATCCATTTTACTTACTTATACTACCTGCCTGCTCCCAGTAGGGCATTTGAGTTTGGCACTCCTGATTTAAGTATTAGAAGTTGCAGTCCATCAAAAGGGCATACTTGGAAGAGATAGGTTCTCACTGGAAAATAGGCAGTTCACAGACTTACATCCTTGTCCACAGGGACTCTTTAATGAAACGTACATTAGGAGAACATAAATAATTTATTAAGACTTTGAGTCTTGACGTGCCTGGGTAGCTCACTCAGTTAAGCATCCAACTCTTGATCTCAACTCAGGTCATGATCTCGCATTTCGTGGGTCTGAGCTGTGTCAGGCTCTGTGCTGACAGTGTGGAGCCTGCTTGGGATTCTCTCTCCCTTTCTCTCTGTCCCTCCCCAGTTCCCTTTCTCTCTCACTCTCTTTCAAAATAAATAAATAAACTTTTAAAAAATTAAAAAAAAAAAACTCTGATTCTTCCCACTAGTTTTCTTTAGTTTTTTTTTTTTTTAAATAAATGTTTATTTATTTTGAGAGTCTGAGAGAGAGACAGAGAGAGAGAATGAGTAGGGTGGTGGCAGAGGAAGAAAGAGAGAGAATTTTTTAAATATAATTTATTGTCAAATTGGCTTACATACAACACCCAGTGTTCATCCCAACAGGTGCCCTCCTCAATGTCCATCACCCATTTTTCCCTTTCCCCCACCCCCCATCATCCCTCAGTTTGTTCTCTGTATTTAAGAGTCTCTTATGGTTTGCCTCCCTCCCTCTCTGTTTGTAACTCTTCTTTTCCCCTTCCCTTCCCCCATGGTCTTCTGTTAAATTTCTCAAGATCCAAATATGAGTGAAAACATATGACATCTTTCTCTGACAGACTTTTTTCACTTAGTTCTATCCACCAGTTCTATCCACATTGCTGCAAATGGCATGATTTCATTCTTTCTCATTGGCAAGTAGCATTCCCTTATATATAAACCACATCTTCTCTATCCATTCGTCAGCTGATGGATGCTTAGGCTCTTTCCATAATTTGGCTATTGTTGAAAGCACTGCTATAAACATTGGGGTACATGTGTCCCTATGCAACAGCACTCCTGTATTGCTTGGGTAAACTCCTAGTAGTGCTGTTGCTGGGTCACAGGGTAGTGCTATTTTGAATTTTTTGAGGAACCTCCACACAAAGAGAGAGAATCTTAAGCAGTCTCCATGCTCCACATGGAGCCTGACTTGGGGCTCCATCTCACAACACTGAGATCATGGCCTGAGCCGAAATCAAGAATAGGATGCTTAACTGACTAAGCCACCCAGGAGCCCCTCTTTAGTTTCTTATATCTATTTTCAAGCTATACACTTCTGGAGAAAAAAATTCTAAATTAGTGTTGTCGGAATGATGTACATTTTCCCAAAGATGAAATGTATAAAATTTCATTCTTATTTCATTAGTTATTTATTATATACCAAGTATAAGACACTATACTAGTCAATTTAGAAAGAGCTAATAACTAAAATACAAAGTATATAGTAAAAATATTACAAGAAGATAAAGTCTATAGAATTTCAGATAAAGTAGTAGTCAGCAAAGTGACTCCAAAGACTGGCTACCTCTTTTTGTAAATAAGTTTTACTGAAACACAGCAATGTCCATTATTAACCTATGTTCTATGGCCACATTTGCTCTGCAAAGGCAGAGTAGTTGTGACAGATACTCTATAGCCCACAGAGCCCAAATCATTTCTCTTGGATATTTAAGGGAACTACAAACAAGTAACTGAAGCCATAGCCTTCATGTATAAGAATTATCAGCAATTTATACCTTTTTGGCCAAGAATTTTCATTAAAAAGTTTCAAAACACTGATTCCACATCTTACACACATTAAAGAAAATGACAAAGACTAGAACCAAAACATGCTGTGTGTCAAGAGCTGGACAACTCTATACAAACTGAAAACACTTCACTTCTTATAAAATAGGATACATAATAGTCTATTTAAAGATTTTGTAAGCTAAAGCGGAAATTCAAAAGGCCAAAAAGCCTTGTGTGCAATAAATCACTTGTTCGAACTGAAAAGAAGTTATTATTTTTTTCCAAATGTCAGTAGAAACTCTAAAATACACTAGTGCCATTTTTTAAAGTAACCACATCCTACTTGTTCACTAAAGACATATAAAATTAGAGTATTTCCTAGTTGAAACTAAAATGTTAAAAAAAAATTTTGTACAAAGTTCTTAGACTTAATAATTGCGCCTTAACAGTGGTTTAGAACTTGTCTACATTGTTTCAAATTTTCAGTGTGGAAAGGATTGCATTTGCAAGATAAAAAAAAAAAAATCTCAGCCCCCAAAGCTCTTTAAATTCACTTGAAAATGTTATATATAAGACAAATTCTCTATGATATAGCTCTGTTTCATCTTAGAAACATATTAGCTTCAATGTTTGCATTAGTGTGTACTCTCTGTTTAAAAATAAAAATTTTAGAAGTCATCTTACCACAAAAAAGTAGTAGTACTCAGTTGTACTATATGCAATTGCTGATATTTTAATTTTACCTTAAAAATTGGTAATCTTACATGATGCACCCTAGTACAAAATTTCCAGGGTAGGAGAAACTGAAGACTGGTCAGATATGAAAATGACAACTTTAAGCACTACGTGGGAAAATGTACTTCTATATCTAATATTTGTTTCTCCATTTTAAATTCTCATACCTTCACATATTTGTCCAAAACAATGAAAATACAGACTGTCGTCAGCTTGGACAGATATGGGGAATTTATAGAAAAGTGGAAATAAAGTGTGTGTAATCTATCTGGATAAGAAAGAGGAATTCCTTTTTAGATACGATGAATAGGAGATATATACTGGACATTCTGATAGGAATATTCACTGCACAATGAAGTATGCAAGTCTAGAGCTAAGGACTATTATTATTTTTATTTATTTTATTTACTATTATTATTATTATTATTATTATTATTTGTGAATAATCAGCAAATAGACAGTAAAGACCTGGAGAGTAGATAAGTCACCAAAGTGAGTACGT